TTTTTTTTAATAACTTATTTACATAAATGTTAAGATAAAATAATTACAATAATAAAATTGGGATGTAACAGATATGTGTAAACATAGAATCAATTATTTGCGCGTTTAATAAATTGTTTTATAGTGATTTGCACCCTATGCTCGGAATGCTATTAGAATATCAAACGGGACATAGTGCGAAAATTTTTGCGAGGCGCGAAATCGAATCCGCCGAGTAAATTAGCCCAGGCGCAATGATCGTGCAGTTATTGCTCCCTTAAATCAGACGCGGCCGAATACGAGATACGTTTGCGGCCAAAGTTTATTTAGCCTCGCTTTACGGCTCACTCCGAATTCACTTAAGCCCGAATCGCAGCAGGAATCGCCACGATGTCGTCCCATGCGATTCGGAATTTTGGAACCGCTCCAAGCGACCTTTGAATAGTTTTCGGAAGCGGAGAGAAGCAGAAAGGGGAAAAGAGAGAAAGAGAAATAAAAAGAAGAGCAGAAAGAGAGAGAGAGGGAGAAACAGAGAAAAAATCATCGTCGATTGGAAGCTCCTCTGCCATACGAAAAAAAAAAAATTGATAATAAACTGACGATAAACTTCCTTTGATTATTTGAATAAAAGAATCGAAAGATATTACAAAACATTTGCGAAATAGACTAACACAAATTATAAAGTTATGTAAAATAGTTAATCATAATTTGTCATAAACAAAAAATTAAAATAAATACAGCTTTGGTGATCTATTATTCTATCAACGAAAAAAATTAAACGACAAATAAAAATAAAATAAATAATTAAACATTCTACTGCGTTTCTAAACGCAATAGAATGTAAAATTTTGTGTTTGTTATTTGTTTTATTCGTTTAGGATATTTTATTCTCGTTACGCTATTCTGAAGACTCCATTCCTGCTCCCATAACGATTCTTCTTTCAACGCTGGAGGTCCCGAATGCGAAGCACAATACCGACTGGCATTCTCTAAAGTCTCTGTATATTTATTTGAAGCACAAGAAAGATCATCACAAGAAAGATCTTATTTTCCTGTTGGAAAAAACAACGAGTAGTGACAACGATTAATCTGCAACAATTAATCCTCAACGCGACACATGCCAATTCACGTAAATATATTTTTTTTTAATATAGATTTAACTATATTTTATTTTCAAAATTGTATCCTTTTTATTCTGCAAATGACAAAGGTAGCGTAAGTTTTCTTTCGTGTAATCGGTTACTCGTAACACAAGGTAAAAAAAAAGTAGTTAAAATATGTGACGTTACGAACTGAAAGAGCACAAAGTTCGAATTTCGGCATCCAGTAAGGGGGGTTTGCCAAATATTTCTGCTATCGTGTACAGGTCTCGCGAGTCTCACGAAGGTTCGTAGTTCGCGACCCGCATATGTCCCATGGAGGTATGCGCCTCGCGTGCCTGGCGCATCTGTTGCACACGCGACGCAGACAACTTGCGACACTACCAATACATAGAACGTTGAATATTACAGGGTGATCCATTCGAACGTCGACACGTATAGCATAAACATTTTTAAATAACTATTAAAGAAACAAGAACTCACCGATTTCAAATCTAAATTTAAACATGCGCAGTATATACGCGGCGATGCAAATATAATAATCAATTTTCGATTATATTACACCGTTCCCTAGGATGGAATCCCCTAGGATATAAGAATTTTCGAGACGAATAAAATCTTAAAGCTGTACATGGAAGTACAATTTCTACATAAGAATTGATTTTCTTACGTCAGACAAAAGAAGGATGATATTTCCTCGAAACGCGACACCCGATATATAGCTCGCGAAACGAGCAGCCGGCAGACACGAAAGCGTCTACAGTGCCAATTTGCAATTACTACCCAGGTATTATTCGACTGTACACATATGAGCTTCGTATTGAACCACGACTAACCCTTAAGTTTACAAGTTTCGGCGCGTTCAGATCAGGGACCATGCACGGCGACGCGTTCGAAGTCTCTCTTTGGAGTCGATCGTACGGAAGTACGCGCGTGGATGCAATCATACAGGCCGTAAGTTCGGGGGGCTTTGGGTCATGGGTCATGTGGATCGCGTTGTGGTAATTAAGAGGCATCGTCGTGCCTCGCCGGTCGAAATGCAGATATAATACGCGGAATGAAGCGCATTATCTGCGCGTGTAATGTGAGGCGCGCGGATTGTAAATATGCTCTTAGATTTCACGAGGAGTATCCTCTCTCTTGGTGTATTCTGTCGATCTTGTTTACGGGGATGCGCCGGAACGGTCAACGGCTTATTGACGTCCGTAAGACAGCTCGGCAAATATTTGCTCGAACCCCGAGACGACGTCATGTTAGGTGATTCATGTAATGGTGGTTCGCACGAATACTTTACAAACATTAAAAGTATTTGTGAGAAAATCCCTATTTGGTAGATTTAAAAGTTTTGAATTTTTATTATGTGAAATGAAATTTTTAAGTTAATGTGAAACGCCTTTAACGAAGTACTGATCTATAATTACAAAGCTATGTAATAATACATTGTTACTCTTTTTACATTGTAACTCGCAATTAATACATTGATAGGACACCCGAGAATCGGTGACCCGCGAAGTGAACGTTTGTGCTCACTTTCACCGGCGGCTTACTACAGTCGATCGACAGAGAATGACGTTTCCAGGCCTCCGGAGGAGGAGAACATACTTCGATTCCATGATTGCTTCTGCCTTCATCATTTGTACAAACTAGAACGCAAATGCAAATGCAATTAACGCTCGTAAAGAAACGCTCGTAAAATTTATTAATGTCAAAGATTACAAAAAGATCGGTATGAATATCGTCGTACGTTTATATAAAATCACCATTTAACATCTGCCTTAATCTTGTAATTGATATTTCACATAACGAAGAAAAAGAAACTGAACGTTTCACTTTACAGCGCAACACCACTATCTCGCCAGAAAATATATCATTCGGCAATAAACTTACGCAGTTATTGGCACGTATAAAATCTTGCCATTCCCATGCGCACGGCGTGCATACAACCGCGCCGTTGTCTCGTCTATCATCTTGGCAATCGAATAAACTATCGACAGGAAAATAATTTAACGCCAATACTGCCTACGTGAGTCGTTATCGCGCGAGCACGGCGATACTCCCTCGCGTGGCATTTCACCCGGTAGTTAGTGGGTGCTTGGCGCGCGAGTATCTCTCGCGATGCGTGTATTTGGATATTTTTAGAGTGTGGGTGAATCACTGTTTGGCCGAGAGGCAGCCGTGCTCACCGACTCCAGCTCCGACAGCTAAATCACCGATTTCAGAAATAACGACCGCGGAAATTAATAATTCCCCTGGTGCCACGCAGAAACCTCGTTTCCCTTCTGCATGACCAAGTGGACCAGTTGTTTGGCGACATCGCAAGTAAGCTATATTATTATTATCGTCTGATTTTATCTCAAGCGAATAAATGATTATTTTATTATTAATTTATTACTAATGAAAGCCACGGCGACCGCGCGTCTCGTTTCTTCCCATGAGACGTTCGCTCTCTACGTTCGTCGTATGAAATTCCTCGTCCATGTCTACACGCGACTAGTCTCCACCGGCCACATTATGACTCGTATTCCTACTCACAACATTAGATTGTTATCCTTTTATCTTTCCAACTATCGTTGTATCTTCGATACAGTTACAGCGTGGGCAGAAGTAAGAAGACTATGATAAGAATCCAAATTTTTCTTTTGTTTTATGATCAATTATTAGGTCTTTCTCTCCTCCTGGCGTACTACACCCATTGTTCTTAATACAATGAAGATAATAATATCTTAGAAATGAAAGGCTGCAACTAGTACTTGCAAACATTGTTTTAAATGCATTTAGTTACTACGCGCTATGCTTTAGTTTCGTGAAGACCGGCCAAAAATCGTCGGAAAAATGAACGCGATAACGGCAGTTCTATTGAAAGAACTTCATACCGTTCTGCTCGTTTCATTATGTATTTTAATAAGGCAAGGAGGCGAACGGCAAATATATACGCGACTGCGTGTACCTGCGCTCGCTTATAGTCAGCGTCTAACCGTCCACGTTGCTTACTAGCAGCTCGTAAAACGGGCGAATTTCGGTCTAGTACGTAGGTCTAGATCAGGCCTAGACCAACGAGACGGCGAATTCGAAATAAGCTCCTGTATTCTATTTTAGGTCGCCCCGCGCAATACAGTACCTTGGTATAACATGCATCGGTATAATGATTCCTTCGTCGACCTCTCTTGCTCCCGTCCTGCTTTTATTATATATACGTGCCACTGTCATTGCACCCTGTTTGAATGCATCGGGGTAAAGTCACGTTTGGATTTCTCTCGCGACGCGTTTGATTCGCACAATTCTCATCGATTAGATATATTTTTACGAAATGTAGTACAATTATACTTGTAGATTTCTTTCCCATTGTCAATACGTATGCCAATTTGATTTGAATTTTTGTGAGCCTCCGATTTTTAGACAAACTACATATACTATTAGATTATTAAAAGATCTTTGATAGTATTATTTGGTAATATGTCTCTCTCTCTCTCTCTCTCTCTTTGGGATATAAATTTAGATATTTAAATGGAGATATTAATATTTCAATATTCAGAATATTATTAGACTTCATATTACTTCACTGAACTATTGATATCTATTATCGTTAGTAAAAGAACTAAATCAAATATATATTTCACTTTATAAAATGATTTGAATGATATCATACGTTATCTATAAATCATGATTAACACTGAGTAATGTAAATAAATAAATAAATCAAGTGTGTTCACTAAGCATAATTAATACTCAAGCAAGTTTATAACCGAGCCGCTCTGTTAAACCTGGTTGCTTTAATTTCTTTTTAATTAATACTGATATCCAATTACTATAATTAATTTTTAACGAATGACGATAATCTGCGCTAATGATATTGCACGTCGTAAATCCAAAATATATTGCAGTCAAGCCTATAAAAAATATGAAACATTCACTCGTGATTTACAATTCGCGGTCGCAATGTGTGTACGTAATACATCGTTCTTTTAACATTTTAATAATTTCGGCAAAGTACTTCCGACATTGCATTTTAATGAGACTCAAAATGTCCTAGATTGTTATTGCACATTTAATCAAATTTAAAAAAAAATAATAAAAAATATATTAATATTTTCATTGGTATATCTCTAGACATTTTAAAAACACCTATATCGATTTCGAGCTTATATATATATATATATATATTATCTAGATCATAAGTGTATGAATATACTGTTTCATATATTGTCATTCATTTTAAGTGCATTTCAATGTATTTAATTTATTCCTTTCTATCATCATACGTCTTCCTAATCCTAATTCATTAAATGTTGCAAGCGAAGCACGATGGAATCGATGCATCTTTAGAAATGAGAAAAAGCGCGTCTTAGTCTAGAGACTTATTTCGTCTTCTGACATCTGGCTCGTGTAACTTCTCTTTCTTTTTCCTCTGTCTCTTTCTCTCATTTACTCGCGCGACATATTTACCTCTCTTTATCTTGTTCTTGCTCGCTCGCGTGATCTTCCGTTCCCGCTTACGTCCGCGTGACTCACGTCGCGGCGTACGGCGCGCCTCGATAAGTGTCGCCGTCTCTCGGGGATTTCGGGAACCTCGTCGGGGATTCCCCCTACCGCCGCGTTGCGCGGAGCCGCGAAACATCTCCAGCGGAGGGGATGCCCCGTCGCTGCGGTGGGGATCACAGACGAAGGGAGGAGAGGGCTAACCACAGCAAAACTTTTGTCCATTCACGGCCGACACGCTTCTAATTGGGAGTACGCTCCGAGGTCTCGTTCCACGCGCACGGATGCTGTTGGACCGGACCGGAACTGATACCTAGGAATCGTATTTCTTTTTCCTTCCACGCGCTCGCGATTAACACTTGCAATCGAGCTTAGTAGAGATCTCTCATTTATCAAATTAGTAACAACGCAATATCAATCATCAATTAAAATTACTTTTTCCCGGAAAATTATGATCTTGAAAAAGAAATGCCATTGTGAATCGTGTGTGTACGTGTGTGCGAGCGCGTTTAAAAATGAATCTCGTAAATAGGCATATGAAAGTTAATAAAAATTTAATTTGTTAAGAGTCAAATGCGCAGAGTCGTACATGCGAAAACTTGTTTTTATACAAAAATATTTTCTACAGTACTCTATACATCAATGTATATTATTTGTCAGCATTCATGCATGCTTATCTAAAGGAAGTTATATTCACTACATACACATTCACATATGTCAATGCAATTTCCGTTTGGTAAACAGAAAGTTTGATCACTAGAATTGAATGCAGTGTTTTTTTCAATCATGGTCTTGAGAGTTGCTATTTCGTGTTGAAATTGCAGACATTGTTGCAACGATTTTTTTACAGATTTGTTTTATAGAAATAGGATAGATTCGCGACCTAATTTTAAAGTAAAATACTGTATTCGGTTGTATTCGACTGTAGCACAAAAATTGTTATTTAATATTAATTCTATGTTTATGATGTGAATTATGTGACACAAATTATTAATGCTACAATAAATATTTGAGAAACATTCGAATCGTGATAATTCAAATTTAATTAAGTAACTCACAAAATTTCAATAAAGTTTTCCGAAAATCATGCATTAATGTGTTTATATGCTGTATAAAACACAAAATTTTTTACAAATTTTATTTTATAAAAAAAATATTTTTAATAAATACAATGGACTGATGAGAGAAATAATTCGTAGAAACATTTTTATGCGCCAATTTTTTATGTTGTACAACAATCAGCGTCAATATGAAAGTCAATATGATGATGTCGAGAAATGTACCATGCTAACGAGCTGGGAGATTCACTCGATTGTCGTCGATAGTGCGCGAGTCAGAAAATTGCGCTGCAATCTTCTGCGCGTCACCAGACGGAGCAATGTACTTTATTCCATGCGCGTTTTGTCATATGAATTCTTTATGGAATTACTATGTAAGAAACTAGTGAAAGACTCATCAAAAAGAACCTAGCGTATAATTTCTAATAATCATACTCTTTTGTTACTAGTTATGGCTTTGATCTAATGATGTATCTAAAGTGGCAAGCCATTTGCAACTTTGCTTGATTTAGAAACCGCATCGAATTAAAAGTACGAATTTACACTCAACTACCGCGTTGCAGAAAAGTTAATTTATTTCTACTTACACTTTGAAATATTTTGATGCGTTGTATTTATTTACGGACATTAGTTTATGGTAAATAATTTTAAGAATTGTCCCATTAAAATAAGTGAAAAAAATAATCCTTCATAATCCAGTTATTGCGACATCTTATTTCTCTCTCTCTCTCTCTCTCTGTCATGTTTAAATTATTTTCTTCAATTAGTAAAATAGGGAATTGCAAAATTTTATCAATAACTGTCAGTTATAGCAGATAACTGATATTGAAGGTCTAGCAGAGATTTGACCTGAAGAAACTTCCGTTTTCCCAGGTTAGACGGACGACGTGCCTACGTCATTAGCTCGTAGCCTAATCAATAGACATAATTATGAAACTATGCGCCATTAATAGTCCCGAGCCGCGCGGGTCATAATCTCGTGGTGAAGGACGGTGCGGTACTAGTTCGCGCGTTATTAAGCGGGTGTATTTTATAGGAAACCGGTAGTTGGGTAATAACGAGCGAGGGTTGCCAACGTTCGATTATGGTTCCTTAACATTATTACATGCTAAAAGAGAATAACTAATAAAATGCACTGCATTGTGCCCTCCAAGCGATATTGAGCCTGTTACGATGTTAGAAAATCTTAATACTTGTTATCACCTTGTATTGACAATATTAATTAAATTAAATTTTATAATATTATTTCGAAGTAATTACGATATAAACAAGAATTTAAGAAATTGAGATAATATTTAATATAAATATATATGTTGTCCCGTGTTATTTTATAAAAAATCTAGAAGCTAACTTGTTTTCTAATAAATAAGACATAAGAAATGTATAGACAATTCTTTTTCTGAGTTGATTTATAATCACGATAAACTATAAATTATCAAAACATCCGGTAAAATATCGGACTTTTTATAAAAAGTCGTCGTTCATTGACATCTGTCTAATTCTTTTCCTTTTTCGTTCCGCGGTTAACTTTTCGCTAATCAAAGGATGCGACAAACGTTTGCATTTCCTGTGGCCAGTCATTAACATCGGCACGTTTCGGTGGGGCTTTATCGTTTATCAGCTAGCGACAACCCCCCTTCTATGTCGGCCACTTTGCCGCAAGTCGGCCGCGCCATCCCCAAATCGCTAAACTATCCTCCAAACACCAAGTACCGCACTAGGGAAACTTCGACGTTAGCCACCCTTACACCTTCATCGTTTGACCCTAGAATCGGCCAAGTGGCCGAGAATCTGACCAACGAGCAATTACGGACGAGGTGTCGAAAGATTTCGCGGTGGAAGATTTACCACCAATGAACATTATTTACAAAGCTGACTGACGAGCAAGTCTATTTTTGAGATATATCCAGGATTCGCCATTTGATAGTGACGTTTGACAAAATATTTCATACGTACAAATTATCTTAATGAGCGAGCGACTTATAAATCATAGCACGCAGCATACTGACAGCCGTACATTCGTCAACTACGGACACGTTAAATCTTTTTTAATTCTTCTCATTTTGTCTTCGTAAAATGACAGATTGCTTTTTTACTAATAGTCAACGATACAAATAGTTCCAATGATAAGACTTACAGCAAATGATCATCGGTCCGTTCTTAATGGATATCGGTATCTCGCGTAATTTGTCGATATTGTCAGAAAAACGCAGTGATTAAATTTTTCCTCATTAACCGTCCCCGATGTACGAACTGATTCGTCAACGGTTATCGAAACAGACTCGCTCTCATATGAATATATTCTTAAACAGCAAGTTGTAATTAAACCGTTTCAATATTTTGCCTGTCAATTAAATTCGTATGCTTGCTCTAAGAATCAAGAATGTCACTGATGTGACAGATAAAACGTTTTTATTTATCGGCAAGTAAATTTCACGAAAATCTAACGTAGAAAGTGGCACGACAGTTTCTGGGAAAGCTTGATGATATTATGATATCTCTCAAAATGAATGTACATGATTTTGTTGCAAATGTGAAAAGAAAAATCATAAGTATTAATAATACATTTATCTCTGAATTTAGCTTATAGTAAATTTTGATATGTCATAACAACATCTGAATTGGTAAAATTTAGTTTCTAGATCTTATTTCTTGATCTTGATTCGAACGATATCATCTTTCTTATCCCCCAAAATATTATTTATAATTTTAATCTTTTTACATTTTTTTTTTCACGCTTCATGTTCTCTGTATCTGTTCACAATTAATTAAAATATATTCATGGAATTGATTTGTCTATTTTACAACAGATTATATTTAATTACACTAACGATATGTCACGTAGAGGAAGCTAATCTTAACTAGTAATTTCTAATAATAATAATAATATAATTTCTAATAATTTCTAATAGATACTCTGTGTCGCGTGTACATGAGTCAACGTTATCAGCAATAAATGTAACAATATTAAACAGATTTAACGTTTTTGTCAATTCGCTATATTTAATGATTTTTTTTTAATAGCTTTACGAATTTATTTATAATTCTTTTTTTTTTTTACATTAGCCGCGATGTAATTTATAATTGCCAAGAACGTAAGGTTGTCGATAATCGACGACTTCAAAATATTTCAACGATTTTTATAATGTAACACTAGCGCGTGTTTAAACAGAAAACCCAAGGCTTTTTAAAGTGTGTGTATTTTTCTTTCGAATTACGTGGAGCGGCTTGTCTCATCGCGTAAATATACCGGTAACGTATCGAATGACTGTGTTACCCGCATCGAGTAGATTTTCTGATTTAAACGTTCCTACTAGCAGCGAACGCGTGACACGGTCGAACCCTCCGGCAACCCTCCGGGATTATCTCACCCCATGCCAACGCGAAGCGGCCCATTTCCGGATATACGCAGAATGAACACACACCTACGAAGTTCTCTCTCTCCCTTTCTCTTTCTCTCGTAACGTAAAATACACTCGATCGGCACAATCGTGATCACTTCGCTCTTGCGTGACCCAAAATACTCCCTACTCGGCCTATCCACACTAATCCTCGTCACCGAAGCAACATGCACGCTGTTGCAACTCTCTTGTCACGTAACGAAATTCCAAAGAAATGGAAGACACGTCTTCCATTTTTTTCTACTACGGCAGAATACTAGATTCTTTTCCGACCGAAAGTCTGACCGATCGCGGAGATCACGATTATTAGTCACTTTGGTCTCGCATGACGGGCGACCCGAGAAGGATTTTGCACTGATCAATGACACCGAGCTACCGTGTAGTTATCGTGCGTGGACCATTGTGTGCCGTGCACTTACCTGTTGCCAGAAGTGGGCGAGCGTGAACAAGGGCTCCTTCTTGTAGAGCCATTCCATGGTCGTTATATTCCGCGAGTTGGCCTCCGCGGAGGCCTGCATGCTGGCCAATGCCGCTGAGTTCAGACTCGCTAGTATGGGCTGCTGGAGCGCCGCTGTCACGACGGAGGTGTTGCTACCGGCTACCAGATTGGCGTGGTACACGGTCGCGGTCGGCGCATCCTCCGAACCACCAGTAGCCAGTAGTTGGGCCCCGATCGGCGCTGACGGCCCCTGGAGCCCCAGTGACGAAGCCACTTTGACGGCTTCGAGCTTCTCCGGCGGACGCAAAACTGCTCTTCCTCGTTTGCCGCCTCCGCCACCGCCTCTTCCGTCTCCGTTGCCGGCCGCACTCGGAGAACACGTTTTAGGCGGCGGTCCCGTCGGTACCGTCTCTCACCGGCAGTCCACGACGTAGCGCGTAGCGTGTCACGCGTCCACTCGGCGGCTCGCACTTTCGCGTTATTGCCACGCGATTAGCATCGCCGGGCTGACACTCTCTCGCTGCAGCGCGCATTCGTTCTTCGGAAGTTTCCCTCTCGAGAGTTTCCAACAGCGTCGAGCGTCGTAAACGTTGATTTAATTGTCACACACAGCACGTATTCTAATAATTTAATCTAAATGAAATACTTCGATGGATTTTTCTCTTCGTCGTTTTATGATCCCAGCCGATCGTCTTGGACTAAGGTATAACGCGTTGCGATTCGTCGCGAATCGGCGTTGAATCAAATTGCACAATGACACTCGGAATTATGACAGGCCAGGCGGTAATCTCACGTTAGTCGAAAGCGTGCTCGGTACCACGGCATTATCAATATTGTGCTAAGCGTTTCGATTTTCTTTGATCGACGGATGATATTGATCCGTATCATTCGTCACCGTATCATTAATCACTATTATTAGAGGGTCACGGAGAGAATCTCTTGGACCGGATCATCAAGATAGTCTCTCACAGACAGTTTGCCGATATCGACGTTGTGCTGCTCTTCATCGTTCTCATCGATTATGTAGTGATGATGCGAACAGGCAGAGATATTCGCTGCCGCATCACACGGCACGCATTACGGAGCCGGATCAGTGTTTCTCACTCACGTCAACCGAGACTCAGTCCGCGACACTCGCGCACTTCGGGTGCACAATTGACTACACAAAAAACAATCACGACAATGTGAGCACCAAGTCTCCTCCAGTCACACGAGAAAGATCACTTTGAGATTCGGAACACTTTGGTGACACTTGAAGGTAACACTCGATCGATGCGTCGCGCGATTTCGAAATCTGCTCCCCTCGTAATCCGTTCTCCAGCAGAGTCTCTTGAACCTCATCGATATCAATCTAATGGCAAGCCCGATGTCACATTCAATGCCTCCTTACGTTGAAGGACAGAGTGACAACTATGTTTTTCTCGATATCCTCCTTTTCTTTCTTTCTCTCCTTTCGTAGTTTCGTAGTTCCACTGACGCACCCGGGTCGCAAACCTTTTCGTCCGCTCTCGTTTGGATGACCTCAAGAAGAGAGAACGAGACCCGTCCTAGCAGGCTCCTAACCTGAAACTAAGAGCTACCGAACGACCGATGCAATGCCTGGAGGAGGCGCAGAGCCAATGGTGGGAGATAGGCGGAGTCACCGACACGTAGTGGGGGTAGGCCAACCCCCCACGCGACCAATCTTGGACTCTGGGAGTATCCCCACTACAGTCGCGCGCCGTCTGATCTCGGAAAGGACACCACGCGAGTGGGGATAAGCCGCGGGAAGGAGCGGGAGGCCGCGGAAAGAAGCGGAGGCTGGCTAGGTGGTCCCTACCAGAGCGGATCTCATATTTTCAACTCCCCGACCGCCCTTTTCCAACCCCTGCCGATCGCTAGTTCCCTTCTTCATTCCTTCCTCTTTTTCTTCTGATTTCCCATCCTCTCTATCCGATCTATCCCCCTTTCGCTCCGTCTATCGGCCTGTTTCATTTTTTCAACTTTTTATCTCCCCTCCTCATTCCCTCCCTTTCTCTCTTTCTCTGTGTTGTATCTTTCTTTCTATTTTCTTGGTCTCCAGCCCGCCAAAACCCTTCATCTTAACAGCTTAAGTAAATATTCTTTGAAAAAATGTCTAGGTTCCAAATTTGTCACAATCTCTCGAAAGACTTCAACGTTTCTATTAATGACTCGATCGAGCAGATTTGGAAATCATTGAAATCGACACAATAATTGAAGTAAATTTTTAATACAAGTCAAAATTAATAAGATTAATTTCATTTTATATAAAATTTGATAACTATATTTTTTGGAACTTTTAAACTACAATCCAGTTTGATCATTATTTAGAGACTGAAGAAGGATACTAAACGAGACATGAAGGAGGAAGAGAGAGATAGTTGGGGAGCATAATAGAAATAACAAAATAAATTGTATTTTGAAATTTTAAAATGATCATAAATAATAAATAATTAATAATAAATAAGAAAAAACATTTTACATCAGAAATTAAAATTTAATTAGGTATGTAAATATTGTTTTGTTAGAGATGTGACAATACTTTTTGAAGATAAAAATTAGGAAAAATTATGATTTGCAAAGTCGTTCAAACTCTCATTTACACAAGAGTAAAAATTACGGATTATCCGAAGTCTCCTTTCACGCGGTATATCCACCGTTACACCCGGTGCCTCTCCTTTTCACTTAATTACTTGAAAATTACTTCAAAAAGCGGGACAAGGGTTTCCTTCCTAAATCGTGAACTGCATCTAACTAAAGTCAAAATTTAACAACTTAATCAATAAAGACATCATACTTCAATCAATAATCTTGTTCATTTATAAATACGTGATTAAAAATTAAATTTTAGTTAAACTTTACTGCTTAAATAATCAAATTTCAGTTCACGAATTAGGCGAGAGATTTCTTTAATTAATTACACTATCTGATGTGTCTATTCAAACAACTGAGAATTAATCATTGTATGATCACATCTATATAAATGGATGTATCAACGGACAAGATATTTTTTAATGCCAAAAAAGAATTTGATAACTATGCACTTTTATTATCCTAATTCACCCACAAAAAGAAGAGAAAAAAAGCTGTTTATATATAGAATTGTTCTTGTAGCGGCGTTATGGGGTTGACTTACGCGTCGTAAATAAAAAAATAGGCTAAGGGCACACGCGTGCAGATAATAGCCCACTGAAGGGGTTAGCCGGTACAACCCGCCTTTTACCGCGGTAAACCCACTTCGCACCAGTTAACTTAACTGGTATCGAACTCAGCGCACGTACAAGCACACGTAATGTTCATTTTCATACTGATTGTTTGTGGTATTGACTTTTGACTTCGTGAGATTGATTATCACAATTTGACTCGAAATGATTTCTTTTCACCGTAATGAATTAAGCTTAGACCCATGAGAGATATCATAATCTACGTTGAGTGGTTGATATTTATAAAACGTCGTGAAAAAATGTTTTATAAAATGTCAAAATTAAAATTGAGAAAATGAAAAATGTCATATAATTAATACAATTCGTTTGTACCAAAGTTATAATATAAAAAAAATTTTTTCAAAAAATGTTTCAAAAAGACAATATTAGTTACATTAGTTACAGTTTGATTCATCATCATTAGTCGTTCATTTGGAATGTACTATATCTATAAAATGTGCTATAAAAAAAATTATTTTTAATATGACTATACTATTCTTGCAATATTTTTGCGATGCAAGTTATGGTAACTTGACATATGACCGTGACATTAGAGAGAGAGAGAGAGAGAGAGAGAGAGAGAGAGAGAG